TATTTTCACTGAATTAGAGAGACCCTGTGTGGGCCACAGTTAATATACAACATTATCACTTTTAAGTAAACCTGCACACCTTAGATTTCATAATTTCTTTTTTTTTTTTTTTTTTTGCTTTTTCGGAGCTAGAGTGTTTTAAGATTTCATAATTTCTGTATTGTTCTGACTCAAAATGAACCAAGGGCTTTTTGCTTTTAGTAAGTCCTCAGAGGGTAGGGTCTGCATGTGCATTTTGTATTTAAATAAATGCTATCTGGCAACTACAATTCTTGCTAGCTCTCCATGTAGTTTTGATGTTACTTACTGAGGTTGGTTGGTAGTTTGATTATTAATTTGGTGGTTTTTCTATCATATAGAAAAAGCCAAACACAATTTTGTTTGAACATTTGTAAATGGACATGATCTTTCAATTTACTACTCTCTAATTCAACATGCTCTAAAGTTTCTCTTGGTTTCTAGAATTCTCTGTTCTTATTTTCCATTTTGACTACTTTTTGGCATTAGAATTCTTCCAACTCCTTAAATGCTATTGCCTGTCTGTGGCATCTTCTACATGATCCCCTTAATGATCTTATCCATTTCTATGGGCGAAATAACTATTGTTAGAGTGACACTAATAGCTTCCCAACCTGCATCTCCAGACCTATTGTTGGTGGTGGCCCACCTGGAGCAGCCACTGTGAGGACACCAGCCACAGGAAGGAAAGCATGGCTGGGGCTGCATGCTTTAGAGAGCCGGCAGGGACAGGGAACAGGTGATCCTAGCAGGAGCCCTGCCTTATCATGTTGGTAGGGCGGGAGCTTGTGTTCCTGAACACAGCTGCAGCTGCCTAGCCACTGCTCTGGACCCAGGCATCCCTGTGCTCTTGGGGGCCTGGGAAGCCCCCTGCCCCTACAAGCTTGAAAGTGCCTGCTCCTGCTCCCTGGCCTCTCCTTGCTCTCAATGTCTGCTCCTGTGCGAAGCAAAGTTGTGGCTGAGCTTGGGTGCTGTCACAACCTGGGTGCATGCTCAGGGTGGTGCTGACGTGCCAGGTCCCTGCTACCTTGGCCCCCTCCAGACTTTGGGCACCAATGAGTATGGGAGGGTGGCCAGGGGGTGAGGGTAGCTTGGTGTGGACAACCTGGGTGCTGTGGATGAAATGTTGATGGTGGCAGGAGGCAGGTTCCTCGGTGGGAAGGGGCAGGTCCCTGTTGAAACCCCACCTTCAAGCTAGGGACAGCCTGAAGCCTGGGGGCCAGGCTGCCAGTTTTAGGTAGAGCCCACAAGCCAGAGCGAGAACTCTATTAATGCATTTTGGCCAATTGGATGGTGCTTTTCCCAGGTCCACCCTTCATTCTAAGCACATAAAAACCCCAGACTCAGCCAGATACGACAGTCATCAGGACAACCTGCCTGTAACAAGGACCACTTCGGGTCTCTTGTGTGCTGTTCTGTCACTCAATAAAGCTCTTCTCTGCCTTGCTCACCCTACAGTAACCTTATTCCTGTATGCAGGACAAGAACTCGGGACCTGCTGAATGGCAGGAGTGAAGGGAGCTAAAACATGTTCCTGGCTGGCTTGCCAAGGCTTCCCAGACTGCAGGAGAAAACAGTGGTTACCCTTCTGGGGACCCAGACCTTGGGATTCCCAAAGCCAGAGCTGCTATAACACTGTAGCCTTCCTGCCTATCACTGGCTCCAGGCAGCTGCCCCACATGACAGGAGGCAGCAGGATGGCCAGGCCAGCTGAGGAGCCATGGGATGGAGTGGGTAGTGGGACTGAAAGAGCTGTAACACAGATTGGCTGAAACAACCCCTGACTATGTCCCCTCCAACCCCCTACCCCCAACTCCAGTCACCATGCTGCAAGCATGAGAAGAGCTACGGCCCTTTTGGGAGCCCACACCTTGGGTCTCCTTGAGCCAGGGCTGTGACACGCTGTAACACCCTCTTTGGGGCTCTGCAGTTCCTGGCATCTCTGAGACTTTGGGTTTCACCCTGTTTCTCTTGCCTAGACACTGGTACCTGCAGCAGAAGCTACTTGTGGTCCACCTGGTCCAGCTACAGCCTTGCATAGAGCCGGTGCCTATAGCCGCCCACCCTGCCACAGCAGCCAGTGTGCCTGGCTGGGTGCAGTGGCTGGACCCTGCATTCACTTGCTCACTCATCCCTCTCCAGCCCAGGCCTGGCTCGCCCTTGGTAGGCATGGGATCTGGGTGGGCAGCACAAGCTGAATGCAGCCAGCTGGGCAGAGTGGGCAGTAGCCAGCCCAGCAGGCACAAGCACAACTCCAGCAGAGGCACTGCCAGCCATGGAAGTTTCCAACTGGTGAAGTGACACCCTCAGAACCCTGTGACACTATACTTTCTTCTAGGTTTGCACACATGGTTGAGGCACAAATTTCTAGCAAATTCATGGTTACCTCCTCCTAGCCACCAATAGCTACTATTCATTAAGTGCCCAGGCATTTTACACTCATTACCTTTAACTCTTTACTCAGGTATGTGGCAGTGTCACCATTTTATAGATAAGACCATAGCCAATAGATGTAAAGTATTAGGATTGAACTTAGCAGTAGACTAGAACTATTTTTTGTTCACTTTACTTGGCTTTTTTGAGATGGGGTGTCACTGTGTTGCCCAGGCTGGCATTAAACTTCTGAGCTCGTGATGTTCCCACCTCAGCTTCCCAAGTAGACTAAAGGTGTGCACTGCTGCCCAGCTAGGCCTGTATATTTATTTAGTAAGGCAAGGAGTGGTTAGAGCAGGATCAGAATCGTTAAGCTGCCATATGTGAAAACATCACTATTACAGGGGATGCTACTCTTGGCATTTGTATAGGCAAGGAGAAAGTGTGCAGACACCCCCTTGTTGACTTGCCCAGTTCTTTACTCAGTCCCTCTCATTTGATGCTTCTGATCCTCCACCAAAGACAGAATTAAGGCCAAACTTGAAGCCATGTGATGCAAACTTAACGGTTTTTTTGAGATGGAGTCTCACTGTGTTGCCCAGGCTGGAGTGGAGTGGTGCAATCTTGGCTTACTGCAACCTCCGCCTCCCAGGTTCAAGTGATTCTCTTGCTGGGATTACAGGCATTCGTCACCACGCCCAGCTAATTTTTGTATTTTTAGTAGAGACGGGGTTTCACCATGTTGGCCAAGCTGATCTCTGTCTCAGGTGATCCGCCAAAGTGCTGGGATTACAGGTGTGAGCCACCACACCCGGTGTGTGTTTTTAAAGAGACGTGAGTTTTGCACTTTCCCCCATACTGAAATGAAGTGGCAGGAACATAGCTCATTGCAGCCTCAAACTCCTGGGCTCAAGTGATCCTCCCCCATCAGCCTCCCAAGTAGCTGGGACTACAGGCATGCACCAGGCTAATTTTTCTATTTTTTTTTTTGTAGAGACCAGTTCTTTCTATGGCCCAGGCTGTTCACAGACTCCTAACTTCAAGCAATCCTCCCTCCTCAGTCTCACAAAGTGCTGGGATTACAAGTGTGAGAACCCTGCCCAGTCAGACTGAGGGTTCTTGAAGGCCATTGGCCATGCTCTTTACAATTTACCACACTTTCTCCTGAAAAAAAGTAGAAGTAGTAACATCCATAGAGAATAATGCTAAACTGCTCTAGGCAAGAGTCCATGAACAGTCTTGGGAGATAAACAGTTTTGAGTGCCAAGAGGGAGAACCCACCTGGAGAATTTATTGTAGGCCCCTTAACTACACTTGTAAGGACTACCATACAGTTAGCTAGTAATAATTTTATGTGATTCATACAACTGTGCACCCTTCTAAGATCAGTGTATTTCGTGTTCTTACAGTGTCTGTACCATTAGAGAGCATCAGAGAAGCTTAAAATCCATAGTCGAGGCATTTTTTTTTTTTTTGAGACGGAGTTTCGCTCTTGTTACCTAGGCTGGAGTGCAATGGCGCGATCCCAGCTCACCGCAACCTCCATCTCCTGGGATCAGGCAATTCTCCTGCCTCAGCCTCCCAAGTAGCTGGGATTACAGGCACGCGCCACCATGCCCAGCTAATTTTTTGTATTTTTAGTAGAGATGGGGTTTCACCATGTTGACCAGGATGGTCTTGATCTTTTGACCTCGTGATCCACCCGCCTCGGCCTCCCAAAGTGCTGAGATTACAGGCGTGAGCCACCGTGGCCGGCCAAGGCATTCTTAAAATAGGGTCTGTGATCATAAACATTATTTCTCTTGAAGTACTTGCAAATGAACTGGAAATGTGTGTGCCACCAAAATAAAACTGTGGATTAATATTAAACTTCTGGGTCAAGGATAGACAGACAGTTAAAAAACACTTCCTCAAGAACGGTGTTAGGCTCAGTTTTGAACAGGGTGGGTAAATTTTGGGAATTAACACTGCAGGAGAAAAGGGAAAGAAAATCCAGAGTGAGGGTGGGGGCATATGGTGGTGCAATACTTACCCACATTCCAAAACTTCTGAACTCCTAGGAGAAGTTAGATAATAGGTATCCAGAGGGTGTCAAAATACCTCAGAAAAACTACTATTTTGGTAGCGTGAGTGGAATGGCTGCAGAAGGAGAAACGGACAAACTTGGATTCAGGGTTTTGCAAATGTTTTGTGAGCCCCACTCTGTGCTCGGTGACAAGGATCCTACAGCAAAGTTCCTCCTTTCAAAGTTTAAAAAGTTGGGAGTAGATACTAAACATTATTAAATATTATTTAAAGTTGGGAGTAGACACTAAATATTAAATATACAAATATGTGGCACATTAGACAGTGCTACATGGTACTGAGAAAAACAGAGGTGCCAGAGAGTCTGCATCTGGGCTTCTAATTCTATATAGGGTAATCAAGGAGACCCTCATATTTGAGTGAAGACCCCAAACTCGAGCAGCCAGGTGGCCATGTAGGGGTGATGCCCGGGCGGGAGAACAGCGAACATCGCATTAACAGAATTTACTGTACAATGTGGACCAACGGATGCCCAGGAAGGCGAAATTCCTGCAAGTTAAACGCACTTCCAACGCAAAACTTACCGGGCCCCTTTGCAACTCTTTAGCCCATCAATTTTAGCGTCTCTCCAGTCCCACGCCACTCCAAGATCAAGGCAGATTATGCCCCGCTGGCCCTCTGAGCTCCTCGGCCGGTGGGCGGACCTCACGTCGCTCCGCCCCGTGACCCGCGCGCTTGCGGCGGAAGGTCAAAGGTCAGAGGTAAAAAAAGTCATGGCGGCGCTGTGTCTGACCCGTGCCGTGGCTGCCGAGAGACATTTTCCGCGAATGTTTCTCTTCTCTAGGCCCTTTCGGGGCGTAGGGACTGAGAGCGGATCCGAAAGTGGGAGTTCCGATGCCACGGAGCCTAAGACGCGCCCAGGCGGCTTCGCAAGGGCCTTGGAGCGGCACTCGGATCTACTGCAGAAGGTGGAGCCCGGGCGGGTGAGAGGGAGTCGAGGGAACTACGCCAACGACGCGGTGGGCGGGGCCGGGAGTCGGGCGGAGCGTGGCGTAGGAACGGGGGGGTCAGAGGGCTGGGAACCGTGGCCGAGACCCGGTTTTCTGGAGTTGCGGTGCGTTGTGGCTCAGCCCTTGGCCCCCTAGGATCCTTGCTTGGTGTTTTTCTTCCTTTTGTTGACCTTTTATGTCGCATTTGTGTACTGGACCGGGTCTATCCACACTGCGCGCGTCTTACTTGGGCTGAATGCTGGTGGGAGGGTAACCAGCGGGGAGCGCTGCTAGGTAGGCGGGTTAGGGCGATTCCTGGGACGCCAAGAAGAATGAGACTCGCACGGAGAGGCAGGGCTCTGCTGGGTCTTGTTCTAAACAGTAGCTCTAGCGTCGAGCTTGCTGTCAGGAGTACAAGGCTCTTCATAAACATTTGTTAATTTAATGGCTGGGTGGTGAATGACTTTCTGAGCTTGAGGAAGTGATATAACTTGTCAGCTCTTCGCCTCTCTTTTGTAAATGTCTTTTTCTAAAAAGTAAAATAAAATCTCCATTTGTCTCAGCCAGTACTTTTGTAAAACACCATAAAGTTATAGATAAATGAAATGGAAGAAATAAAATTACAAGCCTAAGTTTTTAATAATTAAACTCAGCAGACATAAAATTGGATTATATACAAATAAACTCTCAATTTCTGTATTTTTCTTCTTAGGGAGTAATACCAAACGGTTTACAAGACTGGCAGTGTCCTGGGTTATAGGGTCATTTTAGTAGCAATTACTGATGTCAAAATTTTTCTGAAATTCAAGGGCTAGAAGAAGCCTGGTGTATTATTTTATTACTTCCTGTTGTAACAAGTTACCACAAATTTAGTGGCGTAAAACATCAGAAATGTGATAGGGCTGGGAGAAGTCAGATGGGTTCTCACTGGTCTAAAATCAAGGTGTTGGAGAAGTTGTGTTCTTTTCTATAGCTAGTGGGAGAATCTCTTCCTTGCCTGTTAACATCTCTTCTGCCTCTGTCTTCTGCTTTTTTGGTTTTTGGGTTTTTTTGTTTGTTTTGTTGTAGTTTTTTGAGACAGAGTCTTGCTCTGTCACCCACGCTGAAGTGCAATGGCATGATCTCAGCTCACTGGAGACTGAATCTCCTGGGCTCAAGTAATCCTCTTTCTTTATAGCTAGGACTACAGATGTGCATCACCACTTCCGGCTAGGTGTGTGTGTGTGTGTGTGTGATAGAGATGGGGTTTTGCCATGTTGCCCAGGCTGCTCTTGAACTCCTGGGTTCAAGTGATCCTCCTGCCTTAGCCTCCCAAAGTGCTGGGATTACAGATGTGAGCCACCAGGCCAGGCCCTCCATCTTCTACTTTTGAGATCTCTGTGATTACATTGGCCTCTCCAGATAATCAAAGATAATCTCTATTTTAAGATCAGCTGGGCCAGGCATGGTGGCTCATGCCTGTAATCCCAGCACTTTGGGAGGCCAAAGTGGGTGGGTCACCTGAGGTCAGGAGTTTGAGACCATTCTGGCCAACATGGTGAAACCCTATCTCTACTAAAAATACAAAAATCAGCCGGGCGTGGTGGCACCTGCCTGTAGTCCCTGCTACTCAGGAGGCTGAAGCAGGAGTATTGCTTGAACCCTGGAGGTGGAGGTTGCAGTGAGCTGAGATGGTGCCACTGCACTCCAGCCTGGGTGACAGAGTGAGACTCCATCTCAAAAAAAAAAAAAAAAAGATTAGCTGATTACCAATCTTAATTCCACCTGCAGGTTAATTCGCTTTTGCCAGGGAAGGTAGCATTCATAAATTCTAGAGATTAGGATGTGAATGTCTTTGTAGGGGGAGGGGTCATTATTCTTTCTACTGTATCTGGAGAAGTTATAAACTACTAGCAGAATAGCTATGACTGACCTGAAGCCACCTAAGGGATGGATTGTAGATCCATCCTTAAGGTATGGCCTTAAGAGTTAAGTGCAGTAAGGTTGAAACATAAGAGTTCAGTGCTCCGCTCCAAATATATGTATGGTAAAGGAATTTTTCTCTCACCTAACATTTCTCACTCACACTCCACTCCCACTCATACCACATTCTAAGCTCCTTTGGAAACCCCCATAAAATAATTCTCAATTACTGAGTTAATTTTGGTAAGCGTGAAAATTGTAGCATAGTTAAGTGTTTGAAACTCAAAATGTAATGCTTGTTTAATGAAGGAAACAATCCAGGTGTTTGAAAGTCCCCAGAATTTCTTTTTCTTTTCTTTCCAAGGCAGATCTAATTGGGCTGTTCAGTTTTTCCAAGAGGAGGCTGGGGTGTTTCCTGGCAGTCCCAGCACATCTGTTAGATTATCTTAGTCCAGCTCAGGTTCAGCAGCATTTATCGGTGCCCTGCATGGTTGTTCTTCATCTCACACAGTTTAGAAAACATTATTCTACTACACAGTGGGTAAATGTGTTTGGTTGTGATAGATAGGTCACCAATTTCTTATTCGCAAATCTTTGACATCTTGGTTTAATGGAAAGAAAATTCCCTGGGTAGGAGGGTATCAGGAGGCTATGTTGTAGTCTCCGTTCAGCAAGTTCTTAGCTTTGAAGCATTTAAAGTTATGTAGACCCCTTTACTGCTTTGTTGTTGTTTTTTTTTTTTTTTGAGACAGAGTCTAACTCTGTCGCCAGGCGCCAAGCTGCAGTCCAGTGGTGCTATCTCGGCTCACTGCAACCTCCGCCTCCTGGGTTCAAGCAATTCTCCTGCCTCAGCCTCCTGAGTAGCTGGGACTACAGGCATGCGCCACCATGCCCAGCTAATTTTTGTATTTTAGTAGAGATGGGGTTTCACCATGTTGGCCAGGATGATCTTGATCTCTTGACCTCGTGATCCACCCACCTCAGCTTCCCAAAGTGCTGGGATTACAGGTGTGGGCCACCATACCCGGCCACTGCTTCTTAATTGATACCACTGACTTCACTTGCTGCCTGGTTCAGGTCATTACACACAGTATGGACCAAGTTATCTTCCTAAAGTTGGGCTCTATAATCAGACTTAATGAGGTTATTTATTTATTCCTCTCCTTGAGAATCTTCTAAACCTCCATTCACACTGCCTGCAAGGTTAAATACACTATGGTGTATTTAATCTCTGTACTATGACATATCTGTCTACTATGGCTTCACAGGTCTGCCACCATTGAAGACCCTGCCTGGTACAGACGTTAAAAGCTTAGGCTCCATTCAGGCTGCCAGCTTCTGCTATCTTTCTTACTGAGTGACTTTGGACAACTTACTTAGCCTATCTGAGTTGGCTGTCTTATCTCAAAGTGGAGATGATGCTCTAACTGGAGTTATTGGGAAGTTTACATGAAATAATTCATTTAAGGTACTGTCAGTACATTGACTGGTACAGAGTACGCTTGATTCAGTGCAGTTTAGCTTTTATGTGGCCCCAGTCATTTCTTCTTCAGCCTTCTTTTTTTTTGAGACGGAGCTTCACTCTTGTTACCCAGGCTGGAGTGCAATGGCGAGATCTCGGCTCACCACAACCTCTGCCTCCTGGGTTCAGGCAATTCTCCTGCCTCAGCCTCCTGAGTAGCTGGGATTACAGGCACGCACCACCATGCCAAGCTAATTTTTTTTTGTATTTCTAGTAGAGACGGGGTTTCACCACGTTGACGGGGTCTCAATCTCTTGACCTTGTGATCCGCCCGCCTTGGCCTCCCTCTTCTTCAGCCTTCTGCCTTCCTGAGAATAGTTACACAGAGATGCTTCCACAATTGAACAGTTCTTTGAAGTCCCACTATTTTCTTCAATAATAAACTTTATCAAACCATGTAGATTCATCTCTTGTAACAGATGTATTGTTCTGGCGGGGGACGTTGGTAATGGGGGAAGCTATGCATGTGTCGGGGCAGGAGGGGTATGGGATGTCTTACTGTACTCTCAGTTTTGCGTAAACCTAAAAGTGCTCTAAAAAAATAAAAGTTTTTTGTTAGTGAATGAATATGAAATGCTGTTTATAAACGTAAGGAGGTATATGCCGTAACTAGAGGTTGAGCTGTGCCATTCAAATAGATAATAAAATCCAAGTTTTTCATGGCAAAAAACCCAAAACCAACCAAACAAACAAAAAAACCCAGAAAACAACCATGCACACACCATTCTATTTAATCCCAATTTAAGGGCAGTGGTAATCGCTAATGTTTCGTTAACTTGTGGTGCCAGAGTAACGTGACACATCAGAATAGTTTTTTCTTCAGGAGAATATGTTTCAGGAGAGCAGAGACCTTCTCTCTCATTCTGTTGTATTCCCAGTGCCTAGCACAGTGCTTGACCCAGAGTGGGCACTCGGTAAATATTTGCCAAATGTGTGGATCAGTTAATAGTACGTGTAGTGCATATTTGAACTTCAGTTACACCTGGCTTGTCTTTGAATTGTAATATATGTGTGACTGTTCACAAAGAAAGGCACATGTGAGAATAGTATGAGCTCAAGCATGTTAGTTAAATGTGCCTGTCCAGAATAACTCAGTAAAAATAATTTTAAGACTAATAAGGAACTGAAAATAGCATATTAGTTTTAGTTTTAGTATGTATTAGAAGTTTTCAGTGCTTTTCTAACATTTATGATAAGGAATATGAGCAGTTGTGTGTTGATAGGCATTCAGCTTGTGAAAAAACTTGCTTCACCTCTTTTGAAGTTACTGGACCTATTTAATTGAAGAGTATCCTGAGTACAAGATGATTAAATGCCAATTGTGTATTCAGGATTTTTTTAAAAAAAATTATTTACACATTTTATAAAAGTAATATTTGGTTACTTTAGAAAGAAAATTTAAATAGCCCTGAATGTTATGTAAAATGTAAAAGTCCTTTTTTCTTACTTTATCAAGGCAAGAGAGTGTGTTTTTTATGCATAGCTACAGTTTTATATTACACACATATAAGTATAAGGTAAGTGTTGGTATATATATTTAAAAACATAAATTGGTTTGTAGTATGAATACCATTTTAAACTATATTACAGTTTAAGAGTGTAAATTCTGCAATCTGGTTTAAATCCTGGTTCCTCTACCATTTACTAGCTATGTTTCTTTGGAAAATTACTTAATATCTGTGTATCTCCTTTTCCTTTTTTATAAAAGGAAACCCTATGTCATGGGATTTTTATGAGATTAAATGAATTCATTACTTAAAACACTTAACACAGGTGCCTGATACTTAATAAGCACTTGGTATGTTTTAGTTGCTACTGATAAAAATTGCTATTTTTACCTAAGTATGACTATTTTTCCTTATCATTACATAATACTTGCTTGGTATTCCATGGTATGGATGTAGCATAATTTATTTAAGCAGGAAGCCCTTCGTTATTGAACTTTTAGGCTGTTTCTATTTGTTTTTATATCCTAACAGAGTTGCAGTGAACATTTGCATTTTTCCAAACTTAGGAGAGTGTATTTGTAGGATATATGTTGGATAAAAGTGTACACACAATGTGTTACAGCCTGTTTGTACTGAACTCCTGCTTCCAGTGTGTGA